GGGGATTCGAACCCGCCACCTTAGGTGTATGTGGCTGGCGCCTTAGCCACTTTAGCCACAGGCTCCAAGCCAAGACCCCATCTCTTAAAAAAATAGAATGAAAATCTATGGTGGCAGATGAAGGAAGAGCCATGGCTGAAGTGGAGATGTTACAAGTTCATATATGGCTTGATTTTCATGTTAAATAAATGTATTCTGATAAAGGAAAGAAGCATTAAAAACTTCAGATAATTGCTCCCAGACCTCCTTCCTTGTAGATTTGACTCTTTAGTACTCAACCTTCCTAATGCCGTGACCCTTTAATACAGTCCCTGTGGGTCACAACCTACAGGTTGAGAACTGCTGCTTTCGTATAAGCTTGATGTTTCCATAAGTTTCCTAATTTTATATTAAACGAGTTTTAAATTATAGGTATATGATATTGCATTTGATACTGAATTAGCTCCATTTTACTTAAGTATCCTATGAGTAAACTGCTTCCTACATAAATGTTATAATAATTGACTTTTTAAAATAATGAATATCAAAGTAGAATAAGAGTGTTTAAGCTGGGCTGGGCACCCATCACTCAGTAGTTAGGGCACTGGCCACATACACCAAGGCTGGCAGGTTCGAACCTGGCCTGGGTCTGCAAAACAACAACAACTACAACAAAAAAATAGCCAGGTGTTGTGGTGGCTGCTTATAGTCCCAGCTACTTGGGAGGTTGAGGCAAGAGAATCGCTTAAGCCCAAGAGTTAGAGGTTGCTGTAAGCTATGACACTAGGCTACTCTACTGAGGGCAATAAAGTGAGACTTGTCTCAAAAAAAAAAAAAAGGCAAATTTAAACTTAAGACATGAAACTATAAAAGTACTAGAAGAAAGTGCAGGGAAAACTCTGGAAGAAATCGGCCTGGGTGAATATTCTATTTTATCTGGCCTGGGCTGGGTTTGAACCTGCCAGCCTCAGTGTATGTGGCCAGCACCCTACCCACTGAGCTACAGGTGCCATCTAAAATCTGATTTTTAAATCATAGTTTTTCATTTAAAAATGTACACTTTTGGCTCGGAGCCTGTGGCTCAAGTGGCTAAGGCACCAGCCACATACACCTAAGGTGGCGGGTTTGAAT